GCCAGGGGTTTGAACCTGCCACCCTCAGTATGTAGGGCCGGCGCCCTACTCACTGAGCCACAGCACCACCCTAAAATCCCACTCTTCATATGACCACCAATCTCATCAAAAATTCTGAGTATTAGGAAGCTGTCAAGTTCACAGTGATTGATATGAGTTTTCCAAAATTCTAATTTTTCTTTGAAAGCTCACTTTTTATCACTGGGAACAAATATTGTTAGCTGTTTTCCTGAAAGTGGCAGGATAACTTTATGAGAAAATGTCTGCCAAACATCTATGTCTAATTAATCTTAGTTTGTCAGTTCATAGTCTTCCATGAAAAAAGTAGGTAATTCGGTCCGCAACTCAACAATGGCATAAGTGGTTTTCCCTTAGACAATCACCATACTTAGGTTAGTAGCGAAAGTGCTTTATGCCCATCTCCTATTTCCTCACACAGAATATTAAAAAGATGTGTAGGCAAGAGCTAGAATTTTATAAAATTAATTAATTTTTACTGTTTTTATCAAGGATATCCTTATATAATTTTTTTCCCAGCACAGGGTAGAGTGCAGTGACTACCACTGCAGTGTGGCACCATTGCCCTGATTCATGACAACAGGAGTTTCACCTATCATTGTTTGAGCACCATTATTGTCTAAGTAGTTATATTATGAAAATAGTATCGACCTTGTAGACCACCAGGAGGCCACAGGCTTTTTAAGAACCACTGAACTACAGAAATGTGTGCTTTGTAACTGAGGTAATAGTAATTATAACTAAAATTAGCTGTAACAGGGAGTTTGAAAATGCCCCCTTTCCAAGATAACACAAAAGTATATAAGCATCATCTAACATAGCAGTTTTGTTTATACAAATCACTGTGCCTAGCTTGAATGCTACTTTTTCTCTTGCCTAATGCTGTCTACTAATCAAAGTCCCAGTCTCTAATTTCTCCTATCTCCAATTCAGTAATAACAAAATTTAAATCATAAATTTTCTCCAAAATTTCCATATTTTCTATAAACAAGAATTTACAGTCAGGTGAACTCGGTGATAAAATGAATATCCAATCTGTCTGGTTAATTGGGAAAAGGAAAAAAAAATTGCTACTACCATCATTGCCTATCTCCTCCTTTGTAACTGCAGTTGAGAGACTATAGAACCAAATCATTATCAGAGGCATCTAACTGCTTGAAATACTTGTTGCAGAGGGGACTTCTAGCCACAGGACCCATATCTAGAATTCTGCCACTTGTACCTGAAAGCATGGACCTCAACACAGATCTGATCGTTACTCTTTTTTTTTTTTTTTTTTTTTGAGACAGAGCCTCAAGCTGTCCCCCTGGGCAGAGTGCCATGGCATTACAGCTCACAGCAACCTCCAACTCCTGGGCTCAAGCGAGTCTCCTGCCTCCGCCTCCCAAGTAGCTGGGACCACAGGCGCCCGCCACAACGCCCGGCTATTTTTTGGTTGCAGCCGTCATTGTTGTTTGGCGGGTCCGGGCTGGGGATTTGAACCCGCCACCTTAGGTGTACATGGCTGGCGCCTTAGCTGGTTGAGCTATAGGCGCCGAGCCCTGATCGTTACTCTTAACATTCTGAAGTAAATGAAAACAGCTCCTCCTCAGAACAGGCCTAGGAATTCTGTTCCATAAGATAAAGTCCAAAGCCTACTAAAGCTCCAAACCAGGCATCCGGGCCACACGCAGCCCGCTGAGGACATTTATTCGGCTTTTTGCCGCCACTTCCTGTCCTGCTTAGCAGCCAACTAGTCCCGGGGCCCGCAGTCCGGCCCTCCAACGGTTTGAGGGACAGTGAACTGGCCTCCTGTTTAAAAAGTTTGAGGACCCCTGCCCCAAACTATCATTATAATCCATCTGCAACTATTCTCTAAGAATAATCCTCAAATACAGACCCAGAAACCTGCTTCTTACAACCTGATGGTGATTGCACACATGCCATCTCCTGCACTGAGATGTGCTTCAGCACCAGATCAGCCTTTCTCACGTACACTGTGCCAATTAGCAAGGATCACTGTTTCTCCTCTGAGGTTGCACATGACTTATAATCTGTGTTACTCGTTGGGGACTAGACCATGTGTTAAATTTTGGACTCTAAATAACACCTTGAGGAAAAGGATTAGAAACCACCTTGCCCTTTTTTATAATCTGCCATGATGCCTATGTACTAGATATACATATTTTATTTTAAATGTAAGAATGATTTGCAGACATACCTGGGTACAAACAAGAATCAGAAGCACAGAGGGTTTTCATGAGTTGCCTCCGTGGCAAAGATGGATGGCTACACATTAAACATTTGTGCTCCTCCTTCCAAAGTACAGTCATTGGAAGATAGCGCCCAGCCAGGGACTACAGTCCCCACAGTGGGTGTGAATGAAAATAATGGACATGGCTTCTAGCCGGGGTGTTTAAGCAGCAGGTACACCCTCTCTATTCTCTCTTTCAGTCTGTATCTGGATGCAGAGGACTCCAGGCCCTAGAAATAACAACAGCAATAAGGCAGAGGAGGCCTGGGCCCAGGCATCAGCCACATGGGGAAAAGTCACTGCTACTCAGCACACGCACTGGACAAGGAAACATCTGACAAATATCTAGTACCCTAAGCTATGGGAACTTTGGGGTTTAATCTGTTATAGCAGCTGGCATTAGTCTACTAGGACACTGAGGGTCATTTTACTGGAGAGGGTTGAGATTAGAATCCATGTTCTCTGATTCTTCCTCTTACAATGGGTCACGCTATCCTCAGATACGTTATCTATATTTCTAATTATCTCTGTGGTTTTTCAAAAATTTGTTCCCACTGATTGCTCTCAGATAAATGTTCTTAATCCCCAACAAAGCCTTATCTGCACTTACCATTTACAATCATTTTCAAACAAGCAGAACATGGTTTTCTGGAAAAATAAAGATCACAGTTTTTCAACTTTGACCCATGTTTAATAACGGCAATTTGCCCAGCATGTAAGTCTTCACTAGAACAATGGAGACCAACAATTTTCATGTTTTTCACCACCACAAGACCAGTTCTCTTCACCTACATTAAGATATAAAATAATAACATATTAGTTATAATATCTAATGATCATATCACAGATTAAACTTGATTTGTTAATAAAAGGAAAGTTTTGTTTAGTACTTTATCTGATGAGTTTATATGAAAGCACATTTCTCATCAGATCCAAAAAAATTTCTGAAAACTTGGTGCTGACTTTAGACTAGAAATTTCTAGACATAGGCTCTACTAACTGAATAATAAACATGCAATTATCATTAATTTGTTTTAGTGAGACAGATGAATACTTTTGAACACAGTGAGGGGCAGGAACCAGGCCAATTTGACTTGTTTCTTATAGCTGCTGTTCTGGTACTATTTTGCTTTAAGCTTCTAGACAGTAATATATAAAAATTTCAAAAAACCTTATTAAACACATAGATAAATAAAGCCCAGAGAGTTTACATGACTTTTAAATATTGACTAAAATAAAATTAAGTCTCAACTTCTAAAAACTGGGTATACTCACTTTTAGCATGGTGGCAGTCTAGACCAATATGGTTTGTCCTACCTACTACAAGCACACAGATAATTTATAACAACAATGAAAAGGGGAAGACATACCCTCAAAGAAAGGCTCGGTGCCTATAGCTCTGCGGCTAGGGCGCCAGCCACATACACCGGAGGTGGTGAGTTTGAATCTAGACCGGGCCTACCAAACAACAATGACAACTACAACAAAAAAATAGCTGGGTCTTGTGGCGGGCACCTGTAGTCCCAGCTACTAACTTAGGAGGCTGAGGCAAGAGAATCGCTTAAAGCCCAAGAGTTTGAGGTTGCTGTGAGCTGTAATGCCACAGCACTCTACCCAGGGTGACAGGTTGAAACTTTGTCTCAATAAAAAAAAGAAAGGAAAAGAGAACTCAATGCCAGAACAGTGAGCTGAGCTACCTTACCAGTATTCCACAGAGAGGGGACTGGGCTAACCCTGATTTAAGCCTTACAGGCCAGGGACTTCCTGGGTTCTAAAGGATTCCAATAAACCTCTTTCAGTGAAGGTTTTGTTACTTTGAATCTAAAGTGTCCCAACTTACACAAATACTAATCAAAAAGCTATTGTAACGGCTCGGCGCCTGTGGCTCAAGCTGCTAAGGCGCCAGCCACATACACCTAAGGTGGCAGGTTCGAATCCCCAGCCCGGGCCCGCCAAACAACAATGATGGCTGCAACCAAAAAATGGCCAGGC